TGAACATGCAGTGATCCTAGCTTTACAATCTGTCTGAATTGTTGGTTAAGGCTTCGAAGAACTACTTGTACTAGTGATTCTTCGGCCTTCACGGCCACACGTGTAGGTCACATATTTAATTTTCCCATCATCTTCCTTTTTCGAATTTCTTCTCCTAACCGGAAAACCGACATAATATGCATATCCTTTGTAGAAATCCCACAATTCGTTTTCATCCTTAAACGTCATACCCACCTTCGGCGGCTCAGGCACAATCCGACCATCTTCTCATACAGTTTCCTTCTCCATGGATGACATATCGCTAGCAACAGTCTTGTCAAGAACTCTATCCATAAACAATTCAACATGTGCATCTTCCATAGAACCTCCTATGAAAACACAACAAGCAACAACATTCAGGAAATAATTCACTGAAGTTTATGGCATAACCTCCTTTACATAATTCCAATTTCACAGCAAATAATTCACTGAAGTTTACAAATTCACAGCAAAAAATAATAGTTTTTTTTAAGAATCTCTTCAGCAGAACTTAATTACATATTTACAGTGCTTTTAACTTTTGAGTTCCACTTCTATCGTGACAGGTATTTGAGGCTAACTCCTTCAAGAATGATTACATAGTATTAGGTGTTAAAATCGACTTTGGTATGTTTGATAAGCCAATGAACAGGGAAGATAGTATACGTCACTTACTTTGATTTTCTGAATTGTTGGTTGAAGACTGGTCACTGCCGAATCTCGTCAAATGCCTTCTGTCGAGGATTTGATTTGTCGGGTTGGAAGAATCCATTTTGCAATGCCCAAACTTCCAGCTCCGTGGAGACGAATGGTAGGAATGGTAGGATTTGATTTGTCGGCAATGGTAGGAATGAAGGAGCTTTGGGCGGCGGAAATGGTAGTAAAGGGACTCTTTCCCCTTTTTCATTAGGTCAGTTTCCCACTCATTTTTTCAATTTATTTGCAAATGAAAACAAAGTGCCATGTCATTATTTTTTTGAATTTCTGGCGTTTCTAGTGTACAGTAATCTGTACATAAGGCATTTCTGTAAAATTTAAGTAGGAATATATTTTGATTGGAATTTTATGGGGGCTGGCTTGAAAGTCACATTGTATGTACTGTTGTTGGATACCGGTCACTGTGCTATTTTATTTGAAAGCTGAAATATTAAATTTACCCTGTAGTTAAGGTTATGGTGATATGCTCCCCGGAAAATTGTTGAGAATTTACTTAACATGAATAGCTAAATAAAATAAATTTTAATTCCCACCAAAGATCTTCTTTTTGTTTAGAAAGAAATTGTGATAGAAATTATATATATTTTTAAATTCTACAAACTCATTTACTGATCTTGAAACATGAACAATCACTATCTACAATCCACAGCTGTTCAGTTGTCCAGTCTTGAATGAAAATTCACATAATGAACAAAAATTAGAGAATTAGGATTTCTCTTTTCTTGTACTGACAAGATAATGAATTATGTTCATTTTTTCTGAAACTCTAATGGCTTATTAATATAAGTTTAAATGGGCTTGGCCCATTTCTTAAACGTGACCTGGTCTAGTATTTAATTAATCTAATTAATTAAATTTGGTCCATGAATTAATTGATTTCATTAATTAATCCGGGCATATTAACAAGCAATCCAATAAATTAATTGTCCAATACTAATTGATAAATCACATTCTTCTGGTTTTCCTTTTGTGCGTGACCTTTCAGGTTCCTGATCACAATATCTAACGACGTGAATTATTATTTTTCATCTAATCAAAATCGATCTATTAAAATACATCTTTTAATTTATCACCAATACACATTCGTCGTCCCAGACGGGAAATGTCACGTGTTATGACAAAATCAAAGTTATTCGTTTACTATGAAACTATAATTCATTCGTCAACATGATCTGATCAATTACAAGATATGTATATATGTCAATCTCAATTATCGATCATATCTTTCATCCAATGTAAGTCGAAAACTCCTTTTCGATTTATGAGTACACCTTGGTCAAGGATTTCATTCTCAACTTTAACTGAATTAAATGTAGATTATAATTTCTTAATATTTAAGAGTAACGAATCCTCTATCTATCATTTACAACCTTCATATGATTCTTGACATACCCGAACAATGTCGTATTAGCGATCCTTCGCAGAGCAACTTCTAACATTGCTAAAGTATGACTGTTCTCATACAAGGTACTATGATAACCTCAAGTCAAAAGGCCAATTTTATTACTGAATGTTAGAGATTAACCACGACACTGAGATAGTTGTCCATGTAGAATCTCCTCAGTGGTCTCCAATGTTTTGTTCTATAACAAAATATCAACGTGTTCATTTAAGTGTCACCACATTTAGTTTGTGAGATCAGCTACTTACTTCACAAGTAAGAAATGCCATATGTGATGATCTATCCATATTAACGATATTCGTATTTCGTTATTACTTACGACTACGGATGATTGAACATTCAGTCATATGTAATTTGTATTTCACAATTACAACTTCTTGTGATCAATAAATTATTAAAACTTGAATCTACGAATTCTATTATTTAATTTATTAGAACAATTAATTCAATTAAATAATAGATCTTGCCATTAATATATATCAATTATATATTAAAAGTGTATATGCCTAAAGTTGATTGGATTTAGGGCATAACGTTTTCAAGAACTAACTCCGGGGAGCTAGAGTTGTAGTTTCTACTAGCAAATGTGTTGTAGTAACTTGTGAGGAACGCATTCAAGTGGAAAAGATTTTTGCTTTCTCGTAATTAAATTTTGTGCATTGAATCGTATTTTGAAAACAAATTTTGTTTTTGTTCTCATCATCGTATGTATAAAATCTCTCATATTAAACAAGAAATAAAAAGTTCACATCAACACTAAATTTCGAAGGATGGGTATTTGTTTTTAACAATGCCACTGCTACTCGTACGTCATCAATCAGATATTGTCAACCTGATTTCGATGTTCTCCAATATACTACAATTAAACTCTAGCTTCACATCTCTTCAAAATCTTCAGGATAGCACCTTGATGCTGACATTGTGAACCGATGAACCCTTTTGTATGCACTTTGTTTCCCGATCAACCTACCAAACACTCATGTGCATACAATTACTTTCAGATACCTATTAATGGTAGCAGTTGACTATTTTTCCTTTTTATTTGCCCGTCTAGCCATATGCTAGAAATATGGTTCCTCAATATTTTTAGATTGAAATACAGTTGATAGTCTAGTCATCATTTTCTTTAGATCCAATAATTTTTTTAAATTTTCTTGTTAGGTTATCTCTGATCTGAGTATGTAATTGGTTCTTTAGTTCAAAAGTGACGAGTTCTACATTTTTGTTGAAGGGGTAAATTTGTGGTGAAATTTATCCTGTGTTTTATTAGTATTCTTTTAATTAACCTCAGGGACCACCTCGGAACATTTGCCAAAGATTACCCAGCTAAGTTCATTCTAGGTTACTGCTCTATATACATATTCATGCAGACATTTATGATACCTGGGACCATTTTCATGTCCTTGCTTGCTGGAGCTCTTTTCGGTGTTATCAGAGGCATTTTTTTGGTTGTCTTTAATGCCACAGCTGGTGCATCATCCTGTTATTTCCTATCTAAGTTGATTGGCAAGCCTATTGTTAACTGGTTGTGGCCTCTGAGAAATTGAGATATTTTCATGCAGAGGTACCTCTCTTTTACAATTTATGCCAATTTAGCTGCTGAGATATGCCATTTGTCTGACTTTTCATAACTTTCAATTTCTAGAACCTTACTAAAGTGGATTTTGTTGTTTCAAATAGCAAAGCACAGAGAGAAATTGCTTAATTACATGCTTTTTTTTAGATTTACTCCAACGTTGCCAAACCTTTTTTTATCGATTTAGCATCACCAATTGTGGATATACCATTTCATATATTCTTTCTTGTTACCATGCTAGGTCTAATTCCAGCCTCCTTTATTACAGTCAGTGTAAGAGTATTTTTTTTCCAGATGTTGGAAGCGACATAGGTAAAGAATATACATCAAATGAATTCCACAAGTTCTGTGAAGATGAAGGAATGGAGCATCAACTCACCGTTGGATACGCGCCTGAACAAAGTGGCGTGTCAAAAAGAAAGAACAGAACAGTAATGGAGACAGCTAGAACTAGAATATACATCAAATGAATTCAACAAGTTCTGTGAAGAAGAAGGAATGGAGCATCAACTCACTGTTGGATACGTGCTTGGACAAAATGGCGTGTCAGAAAGAAAAAACAGAACAGTAATGGAGATAGCTAGAGCTATGCTGATGGAGAAAGGTCTATCGAAAACCTTCTGGGCTAAAGCAGTAAGGACTACAATCTACGTACTAAATCGATGTCCGACCAAAGTTGTGCAAGACAAAACACAAGTGGAAGCATGGAGCGGACGAAAACCATCAGCAAAGCATCTCAGAGTTTTTGGCTGCATCTGCTACACACATATTCCACAAGAGAAAAGAGGTACCTAGATGAAAAGACAGAGAAATGAATTTTCTCAGGTTATAGCACTCAATCAAAAGGTTATTGAGTTTATAACATGAGAACAAAGAAGCTAATTATAAGCATGGACGTTAAATTTGATGAAGATGCCACCTACAACTGGGAGACTGGTCAAGTTGAAAGAAAAGCTATAATCATCCTATCACAATCACAAAAACAGGATGGTATCGTTGAGGAGAACAATCTACCAGAGTCCCTATGCCAAGCAACGATAGAAGAACCAGTCGACTCACCAGAATCGTCACCAAGAAAAACTCGAAGATTATCAGAAATATACCAAAGCTACAACTTAATGAGCGTAGAACCTGAAAGCTATGAAGAAGCTTCAATACTACCAGAATGGAGAAAAGCTATTGGCGAAGAAATAAATATGATCGAGAAAAACAACACTTGGGAACTTGTAGATCTTCATCAAGACAAGGAAGTCATAGGAGTTAAGTGGGTCTATAAGATAAAACTTAATGCTGATGGCTCAATCCAAAAAGATAAAGCAAGACTAGTCACCAAGGGATACTTACAGCAATTTGGCATTGACTACAGTGAGACATTTGCTCCAGTTGCTCGACTTGATACTATAAGGGCGCTGATTGCACTAGCTGTATAGAAGAAGTGGAAAATTTATCAACTAGACGTGAAATCAGCATTTCTCAATGGCTATCTTGAAGAGGAAATTTAAATAGAGCAACCTCAGTAGTACGTAGTTCAAGGTAAAGAAGATAAAGTTCTCAAACTAATGAAAGCTCTGTACGGATTAAAGCAAGCTCCACGAGCGTGGTACAG